GGGGGGGGATAGTCTTAGCATTGGATGGATGTATTGCACAAGGCTGGAGAACATTAGTTGCCATAAAGGTGAGGTTTAATGTGAGAGTTGTCATAATGTACTATAATTTATCTGGCAAATAATCACCTGTGTTGACCTGTTTTTCCCAAATTAGCTGCTGAGTTAAGGCTGTCGAGTGTAGCCGTTTGCATATCCCAGTTGAGTAGTAAATGTTCGGTGTTAAAATGCAGACCGTACCTCAATCTAACTGGGTAGGTGATGCTTGGGTCCGTGGAGATTAATGGCATTGAATGAGAGGTCTCAATCCTTGGGCATAAGGCTCTATTTTTTCCCACCCCTGCAGCATTTCATCTTCCTGTTGCATCTAGGATCATTTGATTTTTTTTTCAGACAAAAGTTTTTGTGTTCTGACGTAACTGCCAAAACCAAAGAGAAAGGTGGGAGTGAATGGCTTGCAATGTTCCCTGTGTAAAGAGTGCGTCCCTCAAACCCTCTTCCTGTAGGAAGCCTTCTGACCTGCCTCAAAACCTTTGGAGGCGGCCTGTTTAGCTGTTGAAAGAGCACGTTACAATTTTTTTTATGTTCTGCCAGAGCAGCGCTGGGGTAGGGGAACATTTGGACAGCGAGCCACCCTTATCGGGTCACGTGCCTGGTGGCCTGAGATTTATCTTTGATTATTTTTGTGCACGCAATGATTTTATTTAAAAAAAAAAAAAAAAGTTTCCCCCCCCTTTGTGACTCACCAGTGAAACTCATTTTTAGAAATGGCTGGTTGCTGTCTTTCGAACCATTTCCCGATTGAGCACTTTCCTTTTGGCTTCCTTGGCTGTGTCTTCAGGACTTGACACCTCTGTGACGATGCAAATCGGTTCCTGAGCAAGAAGAGGCAGGCTGCAGCAGCAGAAAATGTTCCCTTTTCTTTTTTAGAATGACCTTAGCACAAAATGCTCCCGAACCGCCTCCGGTAGATCACGCTCTGCTGTGTAATTCAACTCTTCTTGTGAAGTCCAGGGCTTCGTGCAACTGTTGTTTTAGGAAATTTGCTGCAGGGGTTTAACTTGTTGAGACTCTAGTTTATGGCTGATAGCAGGCAGGAGAGAATATACATACACTGCCGTACAGCTGCTGCCGCTTGATAAAAATCTGACCAATTTCCAACTTCTGAACAGGCCTTCACAGTCACGGCACGTTTATAAACCCTCTAAACTTAGCATCTTTAAAAAGCAGCAGTGATACCGTGCACATGGTAGAACAAAGAGGAAAGGTGGTTGCACTCCCACTTCTAGTAGTGAGAACAGTTTATCAATTTGATTCACATTTTATATATGTGTCTACGCACCCACAGGATGCACGTGCACAGACATGCACCCCACTTTGCCTTCTATGTGGGAAATGTCGAGATTGAGGGATCTCTGTCAAGCTTAACTTGTTTTTTGGGTTTTTTTTACATGTTTTCAGCTGCCCAGATAGTTATTTGCTTTCTTTGGAAAATGACATTTAAAAAAAAAAAGGTGCTTCACGCTCCTAAGTGTAGCTCTACCATCACACACGAATATGCAGGTGGCTTATTGCTTTATGGTTTAGATGATGCACTGCTCTGTATAAAGTTTCCACTTAACTTTGTATCAGAGGACCTGCTGAAGCTGCTCCTGTCCTGTGCTGCGGGTCCTCTCTTCCTAGTACTTACCATGGGGCTGTACGCCTTGTTGCTGGAAACGGTCCCAACAGCTGGAGTAGGTGGGCCTGGTCATAGCAGTGCCCATTACACTCACCAGGACATCATTTGCTGATGACGGGTGTTGTGCTTCCTCTTTAGTATCTGGGTGATGGAAAAAAAGAGGCAAGTCTGATGTGGCCACCCACTAAGGGAGTTACCCCTTTAGCTCAGATGGCAGAGGCCGTGCTTTTGGTGCTGAATGTCCTGTGCTCTGTGCTCGCTAACAACCCAGAGTAGAGGTCATTGCATTTGTAGGACCGGATCCCAGCTGAAATCATACATCTTACAGATGACCCGGACACAAGCATCAGATGACAGCCCAGTCACAAAATAGCAAAGGGATTTTATTTGAGAAGGATTTTTTTTTTTGCCTCCTTTCTAGCTTTCAGTGGGTCGTTGCGCATCAATATTATTCAGCGAAGTAGCCTGACAGCATCTTATTTAGGCATCGGGTGTTTCACGGCTGACTGTCAGCTGATTTTGGCGTGCGTGCTTCTGTCGGTGTGTAGGCAAATGGGCAGGCGTGCTTCTGTGGGCCTAGACAGCCTTTCGTCTAACTGGCGAGCAAGTGGGTGGCTGATCGGGCACGTGGAGCCGGCATGTGCAATAGTGCACACCTGCCCGTCCTTGCGGATGGAAAAGTGAAGCCTGGTGGCCTTCCCTTTTTCATGGATTGTGCACTGCTACGCCCCAGCCCTGTTCAACCCCACTAGCTCTTCTCAAGTAGCCAGCAAGCAGTATGTTGGGCCAGAATAAGACCCTGGGCTGGGGTTTCCGGGAGCCTCGTTCCTAATCATTTTAACAGCAGCAGGATGTCCCGAAGCCTTTGGACATCACAGCATACCTGAGCCAGAACGGCAGGTGGGTGGTTTCCTCGAATAAACAGGTGATGACCCAAAGAGCCAGGTACTGAGTTGCTATTTTCACTAATTTCCCCTGATGCCCCATCTATTTGAAGTAAAGGACGTAGGGCAGGATTGAATCCCTTTTTCAAGCCAATGTGAATAAAACAGCCTGGCAGAGCATGAGAGCCTTCCTTTCCTGCCACTCTTTCCTTCCTAGCAGCCTGGAGTAGAGCAGCAAGGTCATGCCTATTCCCCATGACTTCTTCCCCGCCCCCGTCTTATCTCTAACTGGATGAGCAGAGGAGTGGCACCATAAATATATATATTTTTTTAGTAATCGACTTGGCATTCGCCCTCCAGCCACGTCTCGTGCATGCTGAGTATCAT